CAAATATGAAAACCTAGAGGAAATGGGCAAATACTTCGAAATTCACAAGCTACCTAAACTGACCCAAACTGAAATTGAACACCTGAACAGACTCATTACAAAAGAAGAAATTTAAAAAGTAATAAAACAACTTCCAGCCAAAAAACAGCCCTGGACAAGATGGTTTTACAAGTGAATTTTATAAAAAATTCAGAGAACTCTGACCAACTCTACATAAACTATTTCAGAAAATAGAAAAGATTAAATTCTCCCAGACTCATTCTATGAAGCAGACATATCCTTGATAAAAAAAAAGGATAAAAAAAATCAGGTAAAGACACTACCAAAATAGAAAACTATAGGCCAATATCTCTCATGAGTATAGATGCAAAAATCCTTAATAAAATCCTGGCCAATAAAATCCAATGATACATCAAACACGTAATTCACCACGACCAAGTGAGATTCATAATAGGTGTGCAACTTAAGAAAAACAATCTTTTCAACATAAGAAATGCAATCAGTGAATTCATTACTTAAAAAAGAAAAACCACATGAGCCTGCCTATCAGTTGAGGCAAGAAAGGCCTTTGACAAAATCCAACACCCTTTCCTGCTTAAAACACTCAACAAAATAGGAATAGAAGTGAATTTCCTCAACATAGTAAAAAGTATAATATGCAAACCTGAGAGCCAACATTGTTCTCAATGAAGAGAGGTTAAAGATATTCCCTTTGAGAACAGGAACTAGGCAAGGATGCCCACTATTACCTTTCCTATTCAATATTGTATAAGAAGTCTTGTTTTTGTTGTTGTTACGTGCAATCAAGTTGTTTGCGACTCATAATGACCCTATGTACAACAGCCGTAAACCCTGCTCCAATGTGCCAATCTCACTGCCTTTGACACACTCATCCTGATTATCCCAGTCACTGAATCAATCCACCTCATAGACGGTCTGCCCCTCCTGTGCTGTCCCTCCACCCTCCCAAGCATGATGTCCCTCTCCAAGGACTGCTCCCTCCTTGCAACATGTCCAAAGTACGTGAGACAAAGCTTCAGAATCCTTGCCTCCAAGGAGCACCCTGGTTTAACCCTTTCCGGAATGAATCTATTAATTTTCTTAGCAGTCCATGGTACATTCAATACTCTTCTCCAGCACCACACCTAAAAGTCAACAATTCTCTTTCTATCCTTCCTAGTCATTGTCCAGCTCTCTGATGCATAGCAAATGATTGCAAAGACATGGCCTGTATCAGGTGTACCTTAGTTTCCAGAGTGAGACCATTGTTCTTAAGTATCCTGGAGAGGTCCCTAACAGCAGACTTTCCCATCACAATACGTCTTTTAATTTCCTGGCTGCTGGTGCCAAGGGTGCTGACTGAGGAGCCAAGCAAACAAAAGCTGTGAACAATCTCAATCTCTTCACCATCCATACTAACGCTGGTGCTGGTGGCCTAGTGGTAAGAAGCTGTGCTGCAATCCTGAAGGCATGAGGTGCAAATCAACAAACTGTTTCAGGGGAGAAAAATGAAGGCCAAGGAAGAGCAATTTCCTACCACATGATTAACTTCCTCTGAAAAACCTCTGGAGGGTCATTCATAGGTCAGTTTTGACTTGATGGTACAATACAACCACAAAAACAACCAAGAAAACAAAGAAATGGGTATCATAAAAGATTTAAAATTTTTAGCCTCCAAGCTGTTTTTAGTTTGGTAAACTAAAATTATAATCCTGTTTACTTACCTTTACTCTTCAAAATAGTTTCTCTAAATCTTTTCTTTGGCATAGATACAAATATAAATAATAACTTGAAAAATAACATCATGTTACTTTAGAAATAAACTACTGGAGTTGTTCACAAAATTTCAGTGTTTATGAAATGGACACTATACTCCCGTGAGAATAACTTCCTCTGATATCTCACTGGAGAGTTACGGTTTGGTTCTAACTCTACAGTATACAACAACAACTATAACAAGACATTTTAAAATACACATATCTCTTTCTCACCTAAAGCCCTTCAGATCTAGCCTGGCTAATTTGGGCTAAGTTAAGTTCAAGTAGAGATCATAAAATGTCTGCTTTCAGATGCCTATGATGAGCCTATGCTTAAAAATGTTTGAATGACTTGAAAATAGAAACTTTTCATACAAACATGACAGCTTTAGATTTAAAGGCCTCTGTATTTAAAGTTTACAGGGCTCTCACTAAATCTCCACTTTGGAGCTCATGTGTGAAGTGCTTGGATCCTGGAAGGTGGGTTCTCCTTGTTTTGGTTGATGGTTGGGTGTGGGCTGTTTGGTTGTTTGTATTTCCTTCACAACTGTGGGTGAGTTGATTTGATTTCCTAAATTTGTTTAACAATGAGCTGTGAGCAGGAAACTGCCTGTTTAAGTCAACCAGGACCTAGTGGGTGGCCTAGTGTGTTTAAAAGTTAGCCAGCCCTATGTAAGTCTCCAGTTAGGAGGCTCATGTATGAAGCGGTTGGATTCTGGAAGGTTGGTCCTTGTTTTGGTTGAGGGTTGGATGTGGACTTTTTGTGCTGTTTTGTGGGGGGCTTATTTTTGTTTGTTTGTTTGTTTTTGTTTTGTTCACAATCATGTGTGAGCTGATTTTATTTACTAGATTTAGCTAACAATGAATCAATCAGGACCTGGCAGATGGGCTTTATATTTAAGTAATTTGAGCCCTTTGACCTGTGGCCTTCAAGCCTGGTGTTAATTGTATTTGGAATGAACATTCTTCTAAGTGGTATAGCACTGGTCTGTCAATTCCCTGTACTGAGGAATGTGGGTTTGCTGTGATGCTGAGTGTTGTGCCACTGGTGTGCCAAATTCCATAATAGTTATCCATTGTGGACAGTATTTGGTGGAGCTTCCAGATTAAGTCAAGCTTGGAAGCAAGATTGGGATCCACTTCCTAAGCTACATGTCTCTGGAAACTCTATGAACTTAAAGAAATGATAATAGTTATAAAACAAGGTTCAAGACTTTTGTTTATAGGGTCACTATGAGG